TTACTAGTAGTAACTAGAAGCTACTAGTAACAAGTGCATCGCTTCTAGGAACAAGTGCCTTACTAGTAGTCAAGGACGCTACGATCGGGGCTCCTGGCATCGCTACGATCGGAGCAAGAAGCTACTAGTAGCTCCTGGCTACTAGAAAACAGAGATGGCCTCCAACCTAAGGTGTCTTTGCTCCGTTCGTAGCGATGCCCTATGTTCCTAGTAGCGTCGTTGCTCCTAAAAGCAATGGCCTCAAGAAGGAAAAAAAAGGGAGGGCACATAGAACGCATAGGCCTCCAACCTAGTAGCAATGGCCTCCAACATGGAAAGCGTACCTTCTCAATTATGAAAACAAACTAAACAAATAAAAATACATATAGAAAACACAACATGGGCATAGGAGGTGTAAGGAAAAATAACACAGCAAAGATGTGGCGAAGCGGCATGCCGTGCAGTTGCAGTACCATTCAAACAATAATACCGATTACGTAACATATGCTAGTAGTAACAGGTGCCACACTAGTAGTAACAGGTGCCTTACTAGTAGTAACAAGAAGCTACTAGTAACAGGTGCCTCGCTAGTAGTAACAAGTGCCTTACTAGTAATATGCATGTGCCCCAATGGCCTGCCACTTTTTCACTTCGCTGGTACAACAAACACGCCCCTTCGGTACACTGTAGAGTACAAATGCTCAAAACATACCTAGTAGCGTCCTTGCTCCTAGTAGCGATGCCCTTTGTTCCTAGTAGCGAACATTGCTCCTTGTAGTTGTGCTTCAACACGCGGCACTTCGTTTCTCTTGAAGTTTCCCTCAACATCTAGGAACCAAATCATTCGTGCGAGCATAAGCTATCCCTAGGAGCTAACAAGTCTCTCCTCTAAGGAGGCGCCTACTTACTTAATTAAGGAGACAGGGCCACGGGCTAAGAACAAACGTATTGAAATCGCCAAAAAAAACAAGGAGACAAAAATTAAACAAACAAGAAGCTACTAGGAACAAGTGCCACGCTAGTAGTAACAGGTGCCTTACTAGTAGTAACAAGAAGCTACTAGTAACAAGGAACACAGGGACCTCAATCGAGTCGGACGCCACGAGGCCACAATGTAAAAACTTTGCATTTTGCGTTCCTCATCTTGTAACAAGAAGGTCCTGGCCTTACTACAAGGAGCAAGGACGCTACTAGGGGCTCCTGGCCGTGTGGCAAGAAGCTACTAGTAACAAGGGCATTACTAGTAACAAGAAGCATAAACCGCATCAACCTGCCCTTCCTTTTTTCTCTTTCATCAACCTCACTCCTGGATCCGCACTCTTATGACCCAATTGTTACAAGCAGCACCCGAATTTGCGCATGAGGAAGTGGAGACGAAGAGATGTGACAAGAAATGCACAGAGGGTGTACATCGCTTATGTTATCTTCTTTGCTCTCTTTTGGAAAGAAAAAAGATCCGTCCACAGGTTGGCTCGCCTCGTCCTCATCTACCGTGCTGGACCTACACCGAAGCCGTCCGACCATACGACGAAAAGAGAAAAAATAGAAATTCTTGCTCCTAGTAGCGTCCTTGTTACTACTAGTAAGGCACTTGTTACTACTAGCGAGACCCGAAGGACTGACTAATCTTAGATTCCTCAGCGCTCTGATCAACGCTAAAGCGCCCACTGATCACTCAGTAGTAAGGCCAGGAGCCCCGTTCGTAGCGTCCTTGCTCCTAATCTCTAAAAAGTTTTAGCCGAACAGTTTGGCGCCCCCAGAAGAAACACTTGTGTCGCCGCACTCAGGAACAAGCCTATCGCGACAAGAGCTCTCATCGCAACGTTTGTCGGTACGGAATTTCTCCCGAAGGCTTGACCTTTGCAACGAGATCAACCATCCAACAATCACCGATGCAATGGAGAAACAAGTGCGTAGTAACAAGTGCCTTACTAGTAGTAACAAGAAGCAATGAAGTATAGTTAAGAAATGGAGTGTAGTAGCGATGGCCTCCAACCTACTATAATTATATAGACCTTGCTTTCTACCGAACTCCCGCTCAGCGCTGGACCACTTGGAGGCCATGGCTTCACTTGCCACTGGAGTATCACTGTTGATTCTTTCAACCATTGATTCTTTCAGGTTGGAGGCTATTGCTTCTAGGTTGGATTCTTTCAAAAACCACAGAATTGATGACCTTCGAAAGAACCAAATACTGCCTTTTCTCCTTGCGAAACCATCACGACGTGACCATGACGGCGCGAAAGGCAAGAAGAACGAAGTGGAAACGTCGAAACGTTCAACGTAGCAAGAATGCTACTAGTAACAGGTGCATCACTACTAGTAACAAGTGCCTTACTAGTAGTAACAATGTTTGCCATTAGAAACAATGTAAGACTTAATTAACGTTCAGATTGTTTCGGTTTTTCACACGCGAAACGCATTACGTCGAAACAGGTTAGTTCAGATTCCCCGAGCTGCACAGTGCCAATCCGTTTGGAATCGGCAACGTTTGAACAGTCGATACACACTTGGCCTCTTAGCTGCCTTAGTGCTTGTAGGTTGCCACATTGCACTAACATGGCCTTGTATCTGCTCTGAATGTTTCCAACTATAGGTTCCACATGTTCAACAGGATGAGGCCAGCCAATCCAAGTGCGCACAGATTCTTTGGCCGCTACGATTTGGAAAGGCTGCACGTCCAGGACCCCAAACCACCAACAACTATTCAGAAGTTCGACAAATTGCTTTAAATTGTTATAAATTGCTTTGAATTGTTTTCCAAACGGTTCAATGCTTGTTAATTACGTGTTGTAGGCTTCATTAATGCTTTTGTTTGACAAATGGCAAAAGTTAGTTCTCAACAATGTCGTTTTGGCCAAGAAATATCAAGAAACCCACTTATGAAGAAACCGATGTGGACAAAGTCACAAAGAACTGAAACAAACGAGGCTGTGGGCTTTACGTCCTGAAGCTAGTAGTAACAGGTGCCTTACTAGTAGTAACAAGAAGCTAGTAGTAACAGGTGCCACGCTAGTATTAACAAGAAGAAGTGAGCAGATTTGAGACCGAACACTCCTTCATCTCCTCAACCGTTGCGGGACTTCGGAGGTGGCGCTTCAACGACTGATGAACCTTCCTCCACAAGTTCTGCCGAAATGCCGACTTGTTGCCGATCCGTGCAAACCCTTTACCTCCCTTTCCCAACAGCAACTCTTGGCATGTTTTCACATGTCTGCAGTGTTGCTTTGTAGATGTTTCGCAGTAAGTGAGATGGTTTCGCCCAAGTATGAGTTCTCTGATGAGTCCTGGAACCGTGCCTATATGCTGCGTTCGTAGCGATGCCCTTTGCTCCTAGTAGCGTCCTTGCTCCTAGTAGTAAGGCCAGGAGCCCCGATTGTAGCGTCCTTGTTACTATGAAGACGCATGTCTGCTCTTTGGAAGCGCCGGCAATCGCTCCAATTTTGCTCTGCGCTCGGCTGCGCTCGGCTGCGCTCGGCTGCGCTCGGCCGATTTGGACTCAGGTGAGACGAACTCCTATGGTCTTCTCAGGCGGCGAAAAGGCGAGGCTGATGCTCCTGATTTCCGAACACTAGGGGCAAAGAAGCTACTAGTAACAAGTGCATCGCTTCTAGTAACAAGTGCCTT